CACAAGCCACTTCTGGGGTTGTTCACTACAAACAAGCAAACACCCCAGATTATTTCTCCTAGGATGTTGAGATGGTCAATATTCCTATCCATTTATAGTTATTGTCTGATTCATAAACTGGACAAAGAAATAGGCCACGCAGATGGCCTTAGTAGGTTACCCCTACCCACTTAGAGCCAGACCCCACTCCAGCTAACCGCATCCTGGCTATCCAGGATTTGCCGGAGTCTCCCCTTAATGCAGGGGATGTAGCTGCTGAGACAGCTTCAGACAACACGCTGAGTCACGTGTTGAACTGTGTGCTCACAGGATGGCCGGAAACGTGCCCGGGCCCTAACTTTCAGAGTTTTGGGAGAAGGAAGAACGATTTATCTGCTCATAAGGGTTGCATTTTGTGGGGCAGTTGGGTCGTAATCCCGACCTCACTGAGGGCTAGAATCCTTGAATCTCTGCATAAGGGACATCTGGGAATATTCCAGATGAAGGCACTCACGCGAAGCTACCTTTGGTGGCCTGGGCTCGATAAAGATATTTAGGCCCAGGTCCACAGCTGCATTATTTGCCAGCAGTCAAGGCCAGAAATGCCACATGCCCCGGTCCACAGATGGGAAACCACACAAGCCCCGTGGTCGAGGATTCATATTGATTTTACAGGCCCCTTTCAGGGGCAACTCTTCCTCATAGTAGTGGACAGCCACTCTAAGTGGTTAGAGGTCGTTCCTGTATCCACTATGACTACTGCTAGGACCATCCAGGTTCTGCACAGCATCTTTGCAATGCATGGGCTCCCTGATGTCATAGTTTCAGACAATGGGGCTCAATTTACTTCTGCAGAATTTCAGTCCTTTATAAGGGCTAATATGATTAGGCACGCCACCTCGGCTCCTTTTCACCCGGCCTCTAACGGCCAAGCGGAACGCATGGTCAGAACCACCAAGGAATCCTTGAAGGGGGTTGCAACTGGCAACTGGCACCATAGGCTGGCAGATTTCTTACTCTGCCAACGCACAACGTCCTGCACTTCTACGTGAAGGAGCCCAGCAGAATTAAGATGGGGCGGTGCTTGATCACAAAGCTGGATCGCTTACATCCAGACAGGGTTGCTTCACAAGCACAGCAGCCAAAGGCTCCAAGGCACTTGCAAGTTGTCAACCTGGTGTGGGCGTGAAACTACGGGCAAGGGGCACTGTGGGTGGTAGCTGTGGTTGGTAAAGTGTCAGGGCCTCTCTCATATGAAGTGGTCCTGGAAGACAGTTGTGTGCTTCGCAGGCACATTGACCCGCTGCAACAGAGGATAGCAACCCAGCCATTAGCTCATGACTCTGTTCAGGTGGAGGGGGAACATGATTGCGATCGTGCATCCGAGTCCCCAAGTGAGGGCGAGACTTTTCGATTGCCATACGGGGGGTTTGCAAACCATGAGACTGCCCCTAACTCAGGCACTTTGGCTACGGGACACTGCCATCAATCAGCTCCACATGTCGGTCCGGTGAGCCCTACTTCACCGCGGGACACTGGCTCAGGTCTACCAGGACAGACCAGCCACAGAGAGATGGACACAGGCTCGGGTCTACCTGGTCAGACCAGCCTCCAAGAATCGGCTCTACACATGACGAACGGAACACACAGCCCCAGTCTACTAAGCCTGGCAGGCGAGCTTGTAGACCAGGAGCTAACGGTAGCTCTGAGATGTTCAGAGCGGGCAAAAGGGCCACCGAAGTACTTAAATGACTACATAGGATTTCTGTCATTGTAAACTTGAATGCTTATGTATTTTTGCCATTGGAACAATTGTAATGTTTTACACAAACAGAAAAGATTTTGTAAGTGTAAATGATCTAGGGGGAAGGGGTGTAATGTATTGAATTAAAGTCTGAGAATTGAGATGCTGAGAACTGTGAAAAAACGGTTAGCAGGCCACATGGCCAACAAACCAGATTTTCTGTCTGCAAACTACTTATTATGCATTTAAGCGGGAAAATACTGTGTTCCTATTGGCTGCTGCCTTTAGGCTGAGTGTATAAATATGGTTGTTAGTTTCTGTTTTGACTTTACAATAAAGAGAGTTGTTTTTCACCTACTGCCTCTTCAATGCCGCATCGAACAGAAAACTTAACACCTCATATACTTTTAGCCTCCACTTCCCTAATCATCTTTGTTGCTCTTATCTTTGTATATTATTTATTTTTTATTCAGTCAATCAATCTTTCCATCAAATCAAGGTGGCAAGCATACATAATACTCCCTCCTTTTTCTATTTTCCCCACAATAACAACCCTGTAAGGTGAATTGGGCTAAGAGAGAGTGACTGGCCCCAGCTAACTTTCATGCCTATGACAGGACTAGAACTGATAATTTCCTGATTTCTAACTTGCTACCTTAACCAGTATACCAAACAGACACGATGCTTATATAAATTCATGTCACCATCTGTGTTTAGCAATTAGATTGTATCTTTGATTCATTTGGATTTATTTAGAATCTGACATGAGGCTCTGTTTTCTGCAGACCATGTTAATTGACTATTTTTCCATTTGCAAAAACTTGTTTCACCCTGATTCATAGTTCCTAGGCACAAGCTAGTTTCTCCCTCTTCCCCTAGGCACAAGCTAGTTTCTTCCCTCTTCATCTATTGCAGGGGTATCAAACTGCCGGCCCGCGGGCGGGATGCATCACCAGGAAACCGCACCCACCCGATTGCCGGCAATGGGGAAAAAGCTCTGATACATTGCGCAACATCACGTGATGTCGCGAGTTTGACCTGTCTGATCTATTATGTCATAATACTATCATTTCATTGATTAAATGCAACAGAGAAAAAATGATTTCTCATATGATCATTTTATTTTAGAAAATCATCAAAAAAACCAAGAAAAAAATAGGAGGTAGATCGCTAACTGAATACCATTTTTTATAGTCTTCCACCAGAGTGGAAGGAATTACTGGAATTAGTAGTCTTATTCAACAGCCCCTAAATCTCAACCAATCTAATCAAAATCTAATCTCCCATCCCTTAATTCTAGGTCATATGTCAAATATAAAAGTTTAGTGGATTTAGGGTTTTTTTTTTAACACTATTGTTTGTTTATTTCTTCTATAAAAGATAATAAATGAAATTTTCCTATTTATAAGGTATGTATTTGTAAGAAGATGGTCCTAATTCATTTTGAACATGTATTCCATGACCTAGTATAATAACAAAAACATAATTGCAATTTATGTACATCCATAATTGTCACTGCATCTGTGTTTAGCAATTACACAAAGTATCTTATGTAGTATGTATCTTTATGTAGTGAAATTTCACTGGGATTTTCTATTTTAGCATTATAAGGCAAATTCTGGAGTATTGCCATTTAAACACTTTTTATGGTTAATGACCTTAACACTTCTTGTCTTATTTATTGCGGAACTTTTTGTCTTCTTCCATTTTAAACTTTATAGCAATAAAATGTATTGCCACAAACATTCAAAATTATAAATATGTCTCACATAACACAAAGGCAGTTTACTTTGAATAGTATAGAGCTGGAAGGGACCTTGGAGGTCTTCTAGTCCAGCCCCCTGCTCAAGCAGGAGGACCTATACTATCTCAGACAAGTGACTGTCCAGCTTCTTCTTAAAAATCTCCAGTGATGGAGTGCCCACAATTTCTGGAGGCAAGCTGTTCCACTGGTTAATTGTCCTCATGGTTAGGAAGTTTCTCCTTAATTCTAGGTTGCTTCTCTCTTTGTTCAGTTTCCAACCATTGTTTCTTGTCCTGCCCTCTGGTGCTTTGGTGAATAACATGACCCCCTCTTCTTGGTGGCAGCCCCTCACATACTGGAATACTGCTATCATGTCTCCCTTATTTCTTTTCTTTAGATTAGCAAACCCAAGCCCTGCAGCCGTTCTTCATATGTTTTAGTCTCCAGGCCTTTGATCATCTTAGTTGCTCTTCTCTGAATTTTTTCCAAACTCTCAACATCTTTTTTGTGATATGGTGACCAAAATTGGCTGCAGTATTCCCGGTGTGGTCTTACTAGAGTTTTATAAAGCGGTACTAATACTTCGCGTGATCTTGATTCTATGCCTCTGTTTATACAACCCAGGATTGTATTAGCTTTTTTGGCTGCTGCTGCACACTGCTGGCTCATAGTCATCCATTGTACTTGGAGTACAATGATCAAGTATGATAAAAAGAAGTTAAAAAAATAATTGCAGGTTGCCCTCGACTTACAACCATAATTGAGCCCAAAATTCCATTGCTAAGCAAGACAGTTGTTAAGTGAATGTTGCCCCATTTTGTGACTTTTTTGCCACAGTCGTTAAGTGAATCACTGCAATTGTTAAATTAGGGACATGATTGTTAAGTAAATCAGGCTTCCTCATTGATTTTGCTAGTCAGAAGGTCAAAAAAGGTGATAAATGATCCCAGGACACTTCAACCATCATAAATATTCCCAAGCATCCAAATTTTGATCATTTGATTACAGAGATGCTACAACAGTCGTAGGTATGAAAAATGGTCATAAGTCACTTTTTTCAGTGCCATTGTAAATTCAAATGGTCACTACGTGAATGGTTATAAGTTGAGGATTGCCTGTGTATTATTTTAGTTAGTGATATTGCCTAAGTTCTCTGTTAATTTGAATAAAGTACAAAACTACCTCCAATATATAATGTTGGCCAAAACCAAGCACTTTTTAAAAAATCTTAAATTATAATCTGGGCATCTGTGTCTTCTTTACCTGAACAAACTGCCAGAAAAACCTTGCTCAGGATTATGATCCTGGCAGAATAATCATCTTCATTTACACTAAGCATTCTTTCTTTAACTTTCTCTTCCCAAATGTTGGAATACCTTATTTTCTGTGAACTACCTTCCACAACCAGAGAGAAATAATGATTTTTGTGTCATAAAGTTTGGAAATCATGATGAAAGATAAGGCATTTATGTATGCTGCAAAGATGAAATACTAGTCTATATAACAGTTTTGTATTCTTTTTCTTCCTTTCAGGTTGACTTTGAACAACTTCAGGATAACTTATGTCAAATGGAAAAAAGATGCAAAGCATCATGGGATCATTTGAAGGCCATTGCTAAGCATGAAATGAAATCAACATTAAAACAAAAAATGTCAGAGTTCCTTAAAGACTGTGCAGAAAGAATAATAATTTTAAAGATTGTCCACAGAAGAATAATCAACAGGTAGAGTATTAAGGCACAGTATGATTAATATATGAAAATTATGTGATAGAAGTATGTATTTTCAAAATACCTGGAGGTTATTGTCAAGATATAATTGATTTAAACTAATTAGTTAAGATGGTTTTAAACTAATTTCTTTAAGATGGTTGTCATGGTTCTGAAAGATGAAACTCTTCAAAGAACTTTGAGGCATTGTTTACCTTAAAGAATCTTTAATTGAGCAACATAGCTTTGGCATGTACATAGGTGCAGCCAAAATCTGAATTCTCCTCCCCTAAACACATAGTATCGAAGCATAATTCCCTCCTCCAATTAACAGTCATTAATCACATTCTCCAATTAGTTTGAAGTGTGAACTTTCCCTCCAATTCCATAACCCATCACTTCTTATCTTCTCTTATTTCAAACAATCTTGAAGAATACTCTACTGAGATATTGTTATGTCTAACTAATCCCCATGCACATTCTTCCCCCTCCCCTCCAGCACCATCTAATTCTAACTCTAAAAGTAATACACAGGTTAAAGAGAAAATGGCTGCATCTTCATATATTGTCAAAGCAAGAACATCTGATGTTAGCAGCGTTGACAATGGTGGCATAAAGCCTATCTGACTGACTCTCCCGGAGAAAATCTCCAAAATTCATCAGGATAGTATTCATTAAACCAGAAAACCCTCCCCCCATTCCTGTTTATATATGTACCAATGAATTATTTATTAAAATTTTACCACCTTTCATTTAGGAACTTCATTTAGCATACACAGTACATCTTCCTACAACAGCTGTGAGAGCTAGGGTGGACTCAAAGAGAGTGACTGGTCCAAAATTACTTTGTGAATTTCCATAGCTAAAGATGGATTTGAACCTGGGACTACCAGATGCCATTCCAACAGTTTAATCATTATGACACACTTAGGAAGAAATGGTTTTTGTTTCCATGAAGCCCAAATGTAAAACCTGTGAAGGAAGGAAAACCAAAGTGTAACACTTTTTATTCTTCCTCCTTTCTTATTTACTTTTTTTTTTTGCAAGGAGGTGGTGGAAAGCTCGAAGAAAGGTAGACAACCGAAGAGACTCATGTTTGCAATCCATGGGAATGTGCTGCTCCAGATAAGTCTGGAGTGCTATTCCTGCCTCATTGTGGCATCGTATCACTCATATCCTTATGATGAACAGGAAAGTTGGTGGCATAGTTTCTGCCTTTCCCACTCAAGCTGCTGGCACCACCACAGCTTTCACAAGCAGAAGGAATAGAAGGCAGTGGCAGCCATCATTTTTTCTTTCTCCTCCTGGCCCTGGTCACACTTCTTTCAATCCAGAATCCCAGGTGCCAACTCTTAGTTCCTCTCATGCCTACCCTGACCCAGGGATTTCTAGCCTGGTTGGAGAAAGGTAGATTATTAAGGAGGGGTACTCTTACTGCCATGACATTTGTGACAAGCTGAGTACCCCCTCCCACAAAAATCCTCTACATTTACATGGAGGTTGAGATTGGTGTGATTAGTCAGAGCAATCAAATGTAAGTGGACCCATTTTGACCACATTTCTCCTCTGCCTGGATAATATGTGTAAATTATAATAAATAGTGTGATGACTCCCTTCTCCTTAAATTTGCTTTGGATCTCCCAGGGGGTTATAACCATACATTGAGAATGTTTGGTCAAGAGGATAAAAACTTTTCCGTAAAACCATTGCTTTATTTATTCCAGCACCAAATATTTTAAATTCTTTTTTTAATTCCAGCAACAAATACTTTAGATTCATTTTATTTTTTTTATTAAGCTATCTTTATGATAAAATCTACAATATGCTACAGTTAATCCTTAAGGTGCAATAGGCTATTTAACCAAGTTTCAAAATTAAATTCTGCCCCCATTTCAAAATTATGATAGCTGCAGCAGGCTTGAGGTCATTCAGCCTTACAACCCATAACAGGATTGCTGCAGTACCCCCCATTTTACCCCTCTTGAAGGTGCAGTATTTAGGTCTCCTCTCCACATGCCCATCATACCCTACACTTACCTTCTGAAGCTATCCAGACTTCATGTTATGGAAGAAGGGAAGGCCATGTGCTCCTGGGCTGTGTTGCAGCGATCCAAAAGTGGCAGCCATTTTATCCCTAGCCATTAACAGGTGAGACAAAATGGCTGCCACCAGATAAACTATTTCATTTTGCTGTCTTAGAGAGTTTCTATAGCACTGCGCTGTAGAAGTTAGCAAAAGAAAACAGTTTGTCTTTGGGGCATGCAGCAGTGATCCAAATGCAGCTGCCTTTTTGTCCCCACCAACAAATGGGCAGGGACAAAATGGTGGCTGCCAGACAAATTGGCCTCAGTACTGATGCTAAATTCTTGTGGAAAACGAAAGGACTCTTATGAATTCCAGAGGGTGTTAGCAGAGAAGTTTATTTGCGCAGGTTCAGAAGCACAAAGACAGGCAATTCTGAACAAGGAGGGCGGGATTAGACTTCAGTTTTATACTTTCCTTTTCTTAGGAACAAAGGACTACACATTGAAATACACATTGTAATACATTAGGATCGTTTCTCATGGGCATACAATGGTAGGTTTTGCTACATACAAAGTATCTATGTGCAATGTGCATTTGGTTAATCACATATTACTGACACAGAACTTTCCCAGTGATTATGCATTACATCATTATTCTATCAATTATGCAGACAAATCATTATTCCAGCAATTGTTCATTATTCTACCTTATTTTACCACATTAAAGGTGTGTGTGTGTGTGTGAGAGAGAGAGAGAGACAGACAGACAAACAGTAAGGTGCTCAGATTTCTGTCCTAGACCAGATGCATTTCAATATTTTATGAATGTTAAGATGAAATGTTCAGCAAATTTGCAGTTATACAAAGCTGGAGGGGAGGCAATGCCAGCAGTTCAGAAAGCAGGCTTGAAGTTCAAAAGGATCTTGAAAGATTTAAAGCATTGGGCTTTTTCCATTAAAATGTAATTCAGTGGTGACAAGTTTAGAGTTCTATACTTAAGAAAAAGTAGGAGAATAGTGACAGGATAGATGATTCCTGACTTAGCAATAGTACTTGTAAGAAGAATTTTGGATGGCCTGGTGGACTATAGTATAAGCACTTGACTAGTGGTATGCTGCACCTGCCAAAAGAACAAATGTTGCAATAAGAGAGAGACAATGTTGAGATAACAGGAAATGATAGCCTGCCGTATGCTATATTGTCAGACCACATCTAAAATACTGTGTCCAGTTTTGGTCACCACAATGTAAGAATGCAAAGAAACTAGAAAAAATGCAAAGAAGAACAATAAAGATAATGAGGGACAGATTCTAAATCTTATGAACCAAGTATGTTTAGCCTAAAGAAGAGAAGGCTAAGGAGGGTCATGATAGCTGTCTTCCAATGCTTGAAGAGGCATCATGTGGAAGAAGGCATGGATTTATTTTTCATAGAGCTCAGGAACAGGGCTCTGAACCAGCAAGTGGGAGCATTACAAAGAGATACATGATATTCTGCAGAATATTATGTAAGAGAGAAAACAATTAGTCACTAATTCTTAAAATAACTAAGTTCTTGAAGTTGAGTCCTATGCAGAACTTTTATCTGCTTTTCTCATTCACATCAGCTGAATATTTTTAGCTGCACAGTTATTAACAATTTATTGTTAGCAAGACTTAAAAATAATAATTTTGTGTATATATTGCTCATAAGTTTAAAATATATTTTAATTACTTTTAAAAAAATAATGGAATACAGTGCAATTCATAATGAATAAATACTACTAGGGAACAAGAAAGTAAGAAGCCATCTTTCACAATAGTTGCTACTATTAGATATAAATCTGAAATTTATCAAAATGACAAATATGGACGGATGGTATACGTATCTTTTTCTTTATTAGAGTATTTCCAAACATCCTTATCTTGCTGATATTGGATTGATATTAATTAAGTAAAAATCTAATAAAATCAATATGTTATTCAGTTCCTCCATTCCTCCAAAATTTATTTTATGTGTCATCACATGAAAGATAAGGAAAAAATTATCACAAACTATATGTCATGTGTCTGATTAACGAAACACTTAAAAGGACTTTCAGGCATATTTTTTCCTAAAAGCATTTATTAAGGTTACAGAGACGTCAGTACAGCATGGAGGAAATGCTTAGATCTGGCTTCTTTTCCGTTACACATATACATTCTAAGCATTTTCCCCTCCCTTATTTTGGGGTCATGGTTCACATCTTCCAATTAACTTGGAAGATGTGATTTACTTCCGGTTTCTTTTTCCCGGGCTATCCTTATTCTCCTCCTTTTTTCCCTGTTGCCTGGTTTAACTATAAAAATACCAGACAGTTCTGTATATTGTCAAAGCAAGAATATACAGTATTTGCAGCGTTGACACTATATCTTTGTTGTCACTCTCTTTATATTTATAAATCCTTGGACTGAAGGCAAGGGATTCAAAGGCATGAGAAACAGAAATATCTGGAAAACATAGAATATAAGTTCCTAATTCAAAAATCTCTATTTTTTAACAGAGTAACAGAGTTGGAAGGGATTTTGGAGGTCTTCTATCCCCCAAAATGCCAAACTTTGATTTTCTGCATGAAAAGTATAGATGGGGGCATTCTGTTACTAACTATAGAAAAATTCTAAAATGTAACTTGTTGTGGTTGTCTAGGTTCCACTCCTTCTTGTTATTTATGGGCTATCCTCTTTATGCAATCCGTGAAGTCAACATCAATAAATTCTGCAAGATTATTAGTGAATTTGCACTGGAGTATCGTACCACCAGGGAACGGGTTTTGCAACAGAAACAGAAGCGAGCCAACCACAGAGAAAGGAACAAAACCAGAGGAAAAATGATCACAGATGTAAGTTGAAAATAAATCACATGCAGTAAAATATATATAAATCTGGGGGTTAGCAACTGACAAACTCATCCGCTGTTATTCTGATATTATCAAAATTAGCTGTAGTTAATTATAAGTAGTGTTTTGTCAACCAAACTGAAATTAGATTTAAAATTCTGATTTAAGATAAATCATTTTACTGCTGAAGAATTGTTGAAGCTAAACTGACCCCTGAAAAAAAACAGCAGTAGTAAGGAGAATTTTAGGATCAGAAAGTCAGAGATGTTAGAATATAATATGTAGTTCTTTGCACATTTTTTTCAAATAGAATAGCCATTAGACTTGACAAGTACATTCTCTCTTTTTTTCTCTACTGACTGAATTTCTCTTTTCATTTTTTCATGTTACATTTTTATGGTAGTTATGATTTCCAACTGTGATGGGCAGGCATTATTACAATTGTAAGTCGAGGACTATCTGTACTCATATACAACTTTATCCTTGTCTCTTGTAGAGGAAAGCATAATTACCAGGTTGCTCTGCTTGCATAAACAAGTTATTACTCATAAATTATCATTGCTTACATATTCTGCCTGCATGAAAGACAGATTATTAATCTACATTCACTTATTACAGTATATTAGAAAGCAACAACTTGATTGTGAATATATTGTGGCACAGAAAATGACAGAAATTAAAATTACATTTCACAGACACTGTACTTCAGACTAAGTACTTGTTAACATTAAATAGGTAGTCCTTATGACTACAATTTGGACCAGAATTTGTGTTGCTAAGCAAGTCAGTTGTTAAGTAAGTCATGTTCAGAAATCTTTCTAATAATCTAATCAGGATTCTCTACCTTCTCAGAGCTGCAGATATCCTTTTTTTCAAGGTCTGGCTCTCAAAGCACATTCACAGCATGAGCTACCCAATCCAGAGCAACCAGGGTGGTATTAAAGCACTATAATAGAAGAAAGCAGAAACTGCTGACACAAAAGAGACAGAGAAAGGAGCTATTTCCACATAATAATAAAGAAGTTTTTATTAAGGCCCACTGCGTTTTAGGTTTTTTTTTCCTTTTCAACAGCTCTGTAACAACACAAATAATACAAAAAGAACATAAGAATGATTTGCAAATTACATATAATAATACTTCTAAACATGGCCAATTTTCATTTGTGTATTCAAATAGTTCAGTAAAAGTCTAAAATAGCTTCAAATTATGTTCAAGTAACAAATCATTTACGAAAAACATTCTTATAAAAGCCATCCTGTCCTAAAATTTACATGGGCCAAACTATTAGAGCTATCAAGACCAGAATTTGTAACCCAAGGTTAAATGTTTAAATTAACACTTAAATTTAACATTTAAAAACACCAACCCTATAGAAAAACACTAAATTCAAAGTCCATCTGTGGAGCATTATACTTCAAATTTCTACTTTTGAACAATTTTATATATGTGTGAATATCATATACAAAAGGGCCCAAACTTGCATCATGGCAGCATAGCATTGCTTTTCTAATTTCTTCCTTAGATCCTCTGGCATAGACTTCTGATAAGATATGTTGATGATATTGCTGATATCAAAATATTTTACGTTTATTGCTTATCTACAATTTATTCTCAAAAGTTGAGATAAAAGTCCTGTTCATTAAAAACGTACCCTAACTTTTGAGTAATCAATGCATTGTTTTCAACATACTTATAGATCAATTTCTTTATGATATGCTGTAAAATCTTTCAAGGTATCAATATCCAAGTATATATTCCCTAAGATAATCTATAATTCCTAAATCAGTCTTTCTTTTTTGAAGCTAGATAATATATTTGCTTTCCTCTCAACATGAACAGGCATTTTACCTGTTCAACAAGATTTCTGAAAAGTAATAACGGTAAATACAGTTTTATCATATCATCAATTAGTTTCTTCAGCACTAAGGTATAGTTCATGTGAATCTGAAGGAGTAAATGTCAAGCTACAAAACCTACTACCTTTAGGACTATAGCGTGCTTCTAACTTGCCAACAGAGGGGGGAGGAAGGGAAAGAGCTTTGAACCTACAGGTATCCTTAGCAACATGAGACCCGAAGCTGCCAAAGAATTGTTTTGGCAAACTAGAGTTTGTTCTGATAATAACTACTAGAAGATGTATTGGACAATGTGACCTGTACTTTCAGAGAGGGGTGAAAGAAGTTTTGTTCTTTTAATTAACTGTTTTCCACCATTTCCTTAGAGCTAGCTTTCCTTTGACCTTGCCAGTTTGATTCTGCTCAATAAAAGTATACATTAGAAGTTTACAATGGCTCTGATGTTTTGCTTGGTTGGGCTTTTCAGCTGGAGGTTGACACTAAGCTAGCTCTCTAAACAATTTAAATTCCATTCCTGAGCCCCTACACCCTGCTGGGAGCCTCCAGAGGGGTGGTGAAGACTCAGGAGAAGATGCCTGAAACAGAGAAGCCAGTTGGAGCTAGCTTGGGGTTGATCAGTGGAATTCCAGCTTTGTAACTCCACCAGCCTCAACCCAACCCAAGGAGCAAGCTGAATGGAGGGAGGCAACCCCGAAGCTGATGGGAACTGGCTGGTTCAACCAGCCTGAGGTGGAGAGGTGGAGAGAGGAGTTGTGGAGAATCATCGAAGCTGAGTTCTGATCGTACTGCCCCCAGCCCGAAGGAGCCAAGGGGTTGGAATGGTGGAAACATGAAGCCTCGGAGGGAACAGCACCCAGGGAGCGCTACCTGCCAAGATGCAGCAGCCAGTTAGTGGAACAGCTGAGGCAGCACTTCAGTCCATGGAGGAGGGTTGGTCCCGCAGCTGGATCCCGAATCCCTGGTGGGTTCAGCCCTGATGCTGACAGCGATCCCTTTACCCCAACGCTCAGTGAGAACGGCAACAGCAATGATGGGGGGACAGTTAGCCTGCTTCCTGGGCTACCTTCCCCCCCCGAACCAAGTCCGGGGTGGAGAACCTGCAGCCTGCTGCTGCCGCTTGCTTCTCAGCTTGGGGGAGTGGGTTGGCAACCCCAGCCGAGATGCAGGTATAGAGCACAGCCAGGGATGTACTCAAACTTTGGAGCATGGGTGCAGTGGTCAGCACCAGCATCCTGACCGCCTCCAGCCCCACCAATGAGGGCAACATTCAGTGGGACTCCAGAAAAGCTGGCAGGTTTCCTCAATCAAGTCTGGACCCACCTAGATCGGCATGGAGATAATTATCCTGACAATGTGGACCAGGTGGATGTCATTGTGACTAACCTGGAAGAAGAGGCAGCAGAGTGGGTGACCATCCTCCACGACAAAAGTGCCCCTGAGCTGGCAGATCCAAACACTTTCCTCTGTGGTCTCAGAGCTTGGTTCGGAGACCAAGCACAGATGCTACGGGTGGAGCTGCAGTCCATAAGATCAAGCAAGGAACTAGACTCATGATTGAGTATATTCAAAACTTCAGGAGGATTGCGGGGAGGCTGAGGAACTGGCCGGAACATCTCTTGACTCAATACTTCCGAGAAGGGCTGAGCCACGACCTCTTCCAACTGTGTCTGGCCCGAGGGATCCCAAACCAGCTTGGTGATTGCTACCAACTAGTTACCACCCTGGAGTTAGACCTGGAGGCATACAAGGCCAGCGGCGGCATAAATCTGCAGCTGAAGAAAAGCCAGGAGAGGCACACTTTGGGGAGAAAGCATCCCCAGCCCCTGCTAGGTTGCCCAAACACGCACCCATCATGTGCTTCCATTGCACTCAGGAAGGCCACAGAGCCATAATGTGCTTGGCACCAACACCCTGGATGGCTCCTGTGACCCCAACCCCTTCGAAGCTGAAGAAGCCACCAAAGAAGGGAAAGGAGAAGTCATGAGCAGCGACACAGGTTGTTGAGTGGAGGGGAACTCCAACCGAAGAGGAGCCACCGATGGTCCTTTATGACAGCGAGAGTGAGGGAGAAGACGACCTGATGGTGAATGGACCGGTTAACCACCTCATCAGTGCATCCTGCTCACTGGTGAGGGGGATGGTTAAGGCCCTCATAGACTCTGGCTGTTCCCGTTGCCTATTTAGTCAAGCTGCTGTGCAGAGGCTAGGACTACATGTGAGGAAACTTAGGAATTCTGTGAAGTCTGAGCAGGTCAATGCTTGCTGATAGGGGGCAAGGCTGTTTCCCATCTGATGGAGCCGGTACAGCTAGAGTTGGAAGTCCACCAAGAGACTATTTGTTTTATGGTCACCCCAAAGATGGCAGAGGGCATGATCCTGGGCCTAGCTTGGTTAGCTAAGTGGGGGCCTCGGATCTATTGGGAGAGAGTCTTGACAAGAATTGACAAGAATTTGGTGAGGAGGTTCACCCAAGCTGCAAAATCCAAGTGGCAGCCCCCATACTATTCAAGGAGAAGAAAGATAGGTTGCTGAGATTGTGTGTTGATTTTCGTGTGATTAACAAGGTTTGCGTGGACAACATGTACCCCCTCCCTCTCATGAAGGCCATTTGGCAAAAGGAAAGATCTTTACAAAACTAAACCTGAGGGAGGTTTACTACTGGGTAAGGATTAAGGAAGGTGATGAGTGGAAGACAGCCTTCAACTGCCCCCTTGGTGTCTACCAATTTAAAGTCATGCCTTTAAACTGAACCCCAGCTGTATTCATGCAACTCATAAACAAAGTGCTGCATGAGCATCTTTATAAGGGGGTCCTTGTGTTATCTTGATGACATCCTCATTTATACTGAGACCATGGAGGAGCATGTGAAACTCTTGCAACAGGTGCTGAGAAAGCTATTGGACGCTAAGCTGTATGCCAAGCTGACAAAATGCAAGTTTCATAAATCTAGGCTGGACTATTTGGGCTACCGTGTGTCATGCTAGGAAATAGAGATGGACCCAGGAAAGGTGAAGTCCATCTTGGAATGGCAGGCCCCTCACATCCGCAAGCAACTGCAGAGTTTCCTGGGGTTTGCAAACTTCAACTGGCAAATTATCCCTTCTTTTGCCACAATCATCTTGTCGATCACCGATATCTTGTCGATT